GTTAAATTTGCATATACTATTACACCGAAAAAGCAAAATTCAGTAACTCTTTCAATCAATTCTCCAATAGTGGACATAATAACTTATTCCTCCTTTACACCATTACCAAATATCACAAATTTTGTTTTTGTCACATTCAAAGATAATTTATCTACATCAAACCATTTTTTAAATATTACCATCCCAGAAACCATAATTTTAACCAAATCTTTCAAATTCTCTCCTGAGCAATAAAAATTTGTATCATCTGCAAATAAAACGAAATGTAACCTTTTTGATACGTCACAGATATCATTGATATAGAAATTAAAAAGTTTAGGTCCCAAAATAGAACCTTGAGGAACGCATTATACAATCTTCAATCTTTCAGAGGTGTTGCCTTATTATGGCCATTGAAAGTAAAGCTTGATTTAAACCTATGCAAGAAATCTACGCCCCAATTTACGTTGTAATTGGAAGCTCCTTTCAACCTTCCGTGCCATTCAAGATGTTGGAGGCTGCATTGATATGATGTGTAGTTAGGCGTGGGAAGGTTACAGCCTAGGGTTAGAGCAGTTTCTGGTTACAACATTGTTTTCCTGGATAGGCTCTGTAATTTTTTACACAGGTCTTCAGTGTCTGAAGTCTGAAGATGTAAACTAAATGGATTTGTCTTTTTTTCTGTTTAATTGAAGGAGAATGGATGAATGGAATTAAGTTTTAGTTGTGTCCAGACATCCACTTTTCCAAGGCACAAACATAATGAGAGCACAGAAATGAATCTGGGTATCATTTACATATTTGATAGTTGGCTTATCACAGCTAACTCCTAAAAGATATCATGAAGAGACAGCATATGAAGATTAAATAGGACAGTCCCATGAATTGGTCATTGTGGGACTGCACACAGCATCATGGTTTTTTGCATTTCATAAAGGGGTGCTGCTATCCCTTAGTGTTCGTCAGTGTTGCCAACTTAGCGACTTTGTCACTATATTTAGAGTTTTTCAGCACTGCATTTTTGCCTTTTTTTCTAAAAAGCTACTAGCGACAAATCTGGTGACTTTTTCTGGTGTTATTAGGAAGACTTATGACCACTTTTTGATGTGAAAAGCACATATCGCTCTTACAGTGGGCACCTCGCCCATGCCAAAGTGCTCACAGGCAGCAGATAGTCCTAACGCAGCAGTCCACGCCCCCAGCTGCTGTCAGAGCAGAGATGTTCACAAAAGTAACTCCGCCATAGTGCCTGTTTTGGGTCACTTTTGGGGCTGAATAAAGGAGGAGGGTTAGACTTGTGACATTTAAAAAAACAATAATTGCTAAAAGAAATTTAATTTGTAGTTATAAATATATTCTAAATGCTTTAAAGGTGTTTTTTAATTCACAGTATGTCCTTTCCACAATGTTATTTCTCTCTCGTACAGCATCCATTACCAATTATGGAGATTAGGCAATTAGGTCATTTAGTGACTTTTAAGAGAGCTAATAGTGATTTCCTGTTCCTGTCACTTCCTGTTCCAACATACC